TCCTGAAAGCTTCCCACAAAGTCAGTGGGGAAGCTGGCAGAAGTCAGAAGATGATTCTACCTTCCACTGCTTTTTTGCCTACTCATGGTCATTCTGTTTCTCTGTTTAAGTAAGGAAATATCTCTGAAAGGATGATCCAACAGATCATGGGTTTTCTTCTTTCGGCTAAAGAAGAAACTATTAAAGGAATAGAGATATCAAGTTTAATGTAATTTTTAATTTATTTATTAAATTTATATGTTGCCCATTTCACTACTAGAACTCCACATGTCTAATTCCATACCAGTGGGGTATACCTGTTGAATTACAAATAATAACTTGCTTCCTTTTTGTTTTTTTAATATATACTATACAGTGAAACCCTCAAGTAACCTTAAAGTGGAATTAATAACAGTCAGGTTTTAAAAATAACAATAAAAATAACAGTCAGGTTTTAAAAACACTGTATTTCTCTATTGATATGAAATTCAGAATGAATTGTCTATTAAAATTTATTGTTAACAATATTATTCTATGTTTATTGTTTGTTTATTGTCTGAGACTAGTTTTAATACTCAGATTGTTTCTAAAGATATAGCTAAAAGAACAATATAATTGATTTATATTGTCCTCCCCTTTTATATATTCCTTTGAAGACCTTGCACTGGGATTAAATCATGTCTAGGTATGAGTGTGTGTCTCTGTGATTAGATTATCCAACCAATCCTGGGTTAGATTCAAACTTATTTATATTCAGTAAAGAGCCACTGAAATAATTGGAACTTTATTATTACTAATATAGAAACTGATTTCAGTGTCTGTTGCAAGTATGATTAAGTCTGTATTCAATTCCCCTGCTGGGACTGCTTATTTGAACCACACTATTTCACCAGAAAATTATAGAGGCACTTCCCCTTCCCACCTAGCTATGTCCTAATTCCCCTCTCCTCTCTGTCCTTTTAAGGGCCTTTCATTCTGCGTATAGAGATCTAACTAATTGGTAGACTTGCTGAGAGTTGATGGGGGAAAACCTTACTTCTTAAATAAAGACACAGCATGAAGCTTAATGAGAAAACTAGGATACTGTGAGGTTCTGATTGGTTCTTTTTTCAGTGTTGCAAATAAAGATGTCTCTCGAGTTTAGACTAGGCATAGAAAAGTTAGTAGCAACCTGGCTGCTTCGTGAACTTGAATTGGCAATACAGAAAAGTTTGGGTTTTTGATTTGGTGGATGAAAATGAAACAGTCATTTTCTCTTTTCCCTTTGCTCTTTGTGATCTGCTTTTGCACAGGACAATTCACTTCAGGTAAGAATCATTCTTGCTCCATATTGATTTTAAGATGTTTGTGTATTGGCCCAACTCTTTGAGTGATTTACTGTACAAATTAAAACCACTTTGCAGATATCCTGTCTGTGTAATGTGTGCTTTTTATTTCTCTAAGGTTTTTTTTAAAGATTTTAATCACAGCTTTATAAGTCAAAGACCTAAAATGGAATTCTTGTTTTAAGAACTTTATCATAAGAGATACAACTCTTGTACTAAATAAATGAAACACTGCTTTTCCTTGACTCATAGTTAGTATTTAGAGAGAGAGAGATCGCTTCTAAACTTTGGCTGCAGACTTCCTATAACTTTGTATATCTCTGAGCTATCCAAGGTCCTAAATAGAACATGGTAGCCATGTCCTTTTCTATGGAGAATTTTTTAGATAGAAGTTTTGGTTGAAACAATTCATGAACGTTAATTAATTAAAACCAGACCACAAGTCTTTAAAGTCAGTATGCATTCATATGTGAGGATGTATTCTCTTTCTCTTCTTCCTTCTCAATTACATAATATTGGCTTTTTTTGTCATCCCAATTTAAAGGTTTTTGTTCTTTTATAAGTGAGGGTGGGAGTTAATCACAGAATGAACTTTTTAAATGCTAAATTCAAATTTAAAGTTCTAGGAAAGGAAGTGATATAATTCTCTGATCAAAGGATTTTGTTTGATCTATAATATACAAGTTTCTTCAGGAGTATATGCATTTTCTTTATGTTAATTCAGATTAAATTAGTCAAATTCTTACTTATTATTTCATTTTAACAGGATTTCCTCAGACTTTTGCCCGCTATCAGGATGAATCAAATGTTCCTAAAAATGAGGTATATAACATTTAACATATTTTCCATGTCTCTGCCAGAAAAATATAAATAATAGGATATCCATGAAAAATATGTATTCTACTGCAGTTAGAGAGGAAAGGCCATGTACAGTAGTGTTTGCTGTATGCAAATGCATGTAAATAAATGAATTGTTATAGGAGCAAAGTATACAAATGTGGACTACATATGAACTAATGTTAGCACTTGTAAATATAATCTTTTGCACAAGTTTTTATCTAGATTAGAAGTTTCTTTTTTTGTACGTTTGCTCTAGAAACTGGCACAATGTTTCAGTCAGAACTCTTTGAACAACCTCAGGTAAAAATGTATAATTAATTTAGAATTATAGAGTGTTCAGCAATGTTGATGCATTCAAAAAATGTGTACATATTCACCCACATACTATTAATTTTTTTTCTATAAAGCTCTTTCAAGCAAATAATCCATGTAAATTATTTGTCCTTCTCTAATGCTGAAACTTAAAACACTTGTTTTTTCTTAACCTATCCATACATATAAAATTAGTTTATATTAACTAACTACAATTTCCAATCTATCTACCATTTGAATATGGGTATTTCTAATCAGCTAACATTGTTGGAACCACAATTCTATATAAAAGAAGTAGTGTGAAAATAACACAATATAAGGAATAATCTAACAGTCATAGTGTCTGTGAGTACAAAAAGTAATTTTAAATTTAAAAGTATTAAAAGTTATTTATTTACTTTAAACTCTTCTTTGACTGTCTGACAACTATTGGCTACTTTATAGATCATACATCTGAAAAGTTATCTATTGTAAACCTATACATTCCACTACTATGTGTTTTAACATTCCAGTCTATTTTTATAGTGATCATGCAACAGGTAAAGGATGAATAATTAATGTGTTTCACATTTTAAACTGTTGCTTCACAATACTTTTTTATAATGTTATGTTCATAAATGATGCCATAAAGTGTAGGAAATGGCAAAATATTTATTAATAAGCAACTGTGAGAATTATCAAAAATAATGTAAATGTTTTGGATTTGACTTTCTTATTAATATATATACTGCTCACAAAAATAAAGGGAACGCAAACCCCTTCAGTTCCATGGTAAAATGTTCCCTTTATTTTTGTGAGCAGTATATTAATTTAACACTCATGTCACTAAAATTAGTTAAAAAGTTCTTTGTATTTTTTTTAAAAAGCTTATATAATAATATATTATAGTCATTCTGAAGTACTCTCCCTTTGATCAGTTTGAACCATAATTCTCAAAATTTCTAGTTCTCATGGATGGATGATAATATTTCAGGGAAGATTGAGGTCAAGTCATATCATCAACAGCAGAATTATTTCTGAAATACATTTTCCCTGCAGATTTCCAGTGCACTTTTGGATTTTTGTAACTCCATGTTTGACAGCTTGCAGATAGATGAGGTAAGGTGATTTCTCCTTGCAAACGGTACCATAGTATTTTGTTGGTAGTAGTTATTATTAATCTAATATGATCATCATTATCCTTCCTAGGAAAATAATCAGGAATTGTATAAAAGAGTGAGTATTTATTTTTTAAATAGAATTGATATGCATATTTTAATTGAAACAATATAAGATACTAAAATAGCTCTTTTTATGCAGTTTTTATTTCACTACTCTAGAGCTCAAGACCCAACATATCCACTTAAAACAGGGGTTAGTACTTTTAACATATTCATTTGTTATACATTTTTAACATACAAAAGAGTATGCAAAGAAATGTACAATAACATATATCTCTTCACTGTATTTATAACTCCTTTAAGCAGCATGTCAATAAAGTAAAATAAAAGGGATCTTCCATGGATGTTTTCAAAGTGGGGGCAAATTACAAAATGGGTGTTGTGACATTGCAATGTAAACTCTTTCCCTTTTAATCCAAGTTTTGGTTTTACCTGCTGGTAAGCAAAGGAAAGGGCTTTTCATGTGATGGCAGAGGGCATTTTTCGTTATTTTGATGAACTCTTGATATGCTGCAGATGCCTGATGTCTTCTGAAATTTATATTCTAATTTCAGGATCTAAAAAAAATATCAAAGCATTAGTTTCATGAGCCAAATGGATTTTGGATTACAAACAATGGCATAAATTTCTGTTTATCAAAAGCTTTCTGTAATATAATATGCAGAATAAAGCCCCTTGCACCTTGTTCAAAACATTCTTTAGATTCTCCTTTCTAATGATTCATAACTGTATCCACATGCATTCAATATTATCAGTCACTACCTATATCATTAATATCTGTCAATAATAAAAAGAATAATTTGGCTAGTATGGTGATTACTGTGCTGGTGATAAAAGAAGCAATAAACACTGGCCTTATATAAGTTTTCAAGTGGTTCAGCTAAAGGCAGAGACCAAATGTAAGCGAGATAGATAGAAACATAGCACAAACAAGACATCCAGACTCAAAAGTACTGTAATATGCAGCTTCATCCTCAGGTGGGCTCAGATTTATCTGCATGCAACTCTTGTCCCCAGTCAATATGTCTGTTTCAGACTTCTGAAAGGCTCCAGTTTATGGATAGTTACATTAGAAATATTCATGCATCAAACCAGTTAGCTGGTATCTAGATTTTAGATATTACTTGTTCTAATATTCTAATATCTAAAATAGCATTCACAATATCTTTTTGTTATAGTCATTCCCTCTGCATCCTTTAATGAGCCTTGCTCCAAAGCTCTCGGACAGAAGAAAGAAAAGATTCCTTAATCCAGTATGCATTCACATATTCCATATTACTTTGTGTCTTTTAATTTACATTTCCTTTTTTTTAGCCATTGTGTCAAGTGATCAAGTTGTGAGCAATTACTAAAGAAAAATACAATTCCCTTCCCTTCTTTGATTTTTTTCTTTCTACATTCCATCCTTTCTATTTCACCCATTCTTTTTCATATTTCACTTTGTTGTTTATTTAAACTCAGTCACAACAATAAATGTAGATATGCCTATTATGAATAGTGGCCAATTCTAAACTTAGGCATTGCATCTTGACAGTATCTTCATGCTGGAGGCTTTAAATCCAGATATTGCCCATGTTCGATTTTGTTTGTTGGCACAGGAGTATGATGCCCTGTGTTTTCATGATATGATGGAATACTTGTCTAAAGTGAGTTGGAATAATTATCAACTGGCAACCAGTTCAGTAAATAAAAATGATCAATTATAACTTGTGACTGGGTTAAAATTCAGTAAATAATAGAGAGAGATAGGGCAAAAATCCTAGCACAAATAAAAGAATATAAGATATGACTGCTGTTTGAGATTTCTGTTATGTTCAGGAGTATGTCTGTGCCATTTTGGTTTAAGAGACCAAAGCATGTTTGTATAATGGAACCATCTACTAACAACTACTAACAGGATATAAAATTGAAGGCATTTAGTCAGACGATAAAATTCACATGTGTTCTCTCCTGCAGGAATTGCAGATTGCTGCAGCAGAATTCATGAAAAAGGTAATGTTAAAAATGCAGATATTACTGTTGTATATGAATATTATTGCCAATTCTCAACTTTTTGATGGGAATTTGGATTGATAGATCACACTGTCAACTATCTCAGTCAGCAAATTAAAGATACAGATGCCAGGAAGCATGTTTTCTATTGCATATGAGACCTCTGAATCTTATACCATCTGTCATAACTTGCAGCCTATTGTTGTGTGTGAATAATAATAATAATAATAATAATAATAATAATAATAATAATAATAATAATAATAATAAAGTTGGAAGGGACCTTGGAGGTCATCGAGTCCAACCCCCTGCTCAGGCAGGAACCCTATACCATTTCAGACAAATGGCTGTCCAGTCTCTTCTTAAAAACTTCCAGTGTTGGAGCATTCACCACTTCTGGAGGCAGGTTGTTCCATTGGTTAATTGTTCTAACTGTCAGGAAGTTTCTCCTTAGTTCTAAGTTGCTTCTCTCCTTGATCAGTTTCCATCCGTTGCTTCTTGTCCTGCCTTCAGGCGCCTTGGAGAATAGCTTGACTCCCTCTTCTTTGCGGCAGCCCCTGAGATATTGGAACACTGCTATCATGTCCCCCCTCGTCCTTCTCTTCGTTAAACTAGACATACCCAATTCCAGCAACCGTTTCTTATATGTTTTAGCCTCCAGTCCCCTAATCATCTTTGTTGGGCTATAGGATGAAGACTTGCAGTTCCAAAATGTTTGTTACGACCTTCAGCTCCTCTGCAGTATTTGTAATTTTTAATATGTCAGAGGGAAAAATATTACTCTGGATGGCACACAACAATCAGATAAAAACCACAAATATAAAAATAAGAGATATAAAAAAATAAAAATCTACATTAAGAAATAAATAGTATAAAAACAAATATATAAACCCCCAAGCCAAGAGAAGGTAAAAATGACCTCCTCAGCAATGGAACCATCTAAGCAAATTTCCCATTCCTAACATAAACAGGTCTTGAGGGCCTTCTGGAATATCAGGAGAGCTAATCTAATTTTGAAGGGAAGAATATTCCATTAAGGTGAGCACCATGGCAGAGAAGACACATCTCCCGGGACTCACAAAATGTAAATCCCTAGCTGATGGTAACTGCAGCATGCTTTCTCTGACAGTTCTAATAGGACAAGCTGAAGTAACTGGTGAGACAAATAGCCTCAGTCCATGCCATGAAGTGTTTTAAAGTTTAAAACAAGCATCTTGAATAGGACCCAGAAACAAACTGGCAACCAATGTAGTGTAATATGCACTGTTCTAGAGCACACATAATTGTGACCACTGTCCTCATTTGGAGGGAAGGGGGAAAGGAGAGGGAGAGGGAGGGAAAGGGAGGGAGGGAGGGAGGGAGGGAGGGAGGGAGAGAGAGAGAGAGAGAGAGAGAGAGAGAGAGAGAGAGAGAGAGAGAGAGATGTACAGTATATACATATACACTTGGGTATTGGGTATTGTTTTAAGTAGACTTGCAGATGATTGTGGTGCTAACGTCTGTTGCTGGGACATATATTCTTTGGGCTCTGATTCCCTATAGAATTGTCTTCTTCCTGAAATCTGGAATCCCTTTAAAGTGACTTACAACTTCATGCTTCTGTCACACACAGTATAACATTTGAGAACTGTTCACTTATACTGAGTTTTGAAGTATTTTATTAAATCTCTCTTATTTATTTTATTTTACAGGATGGTTTGGATGATTTAGGACGATCCTTATTTCTTTTCAGGGTATTAATTTTTCTGTTTCCTTTTAAGAAGAAATTTGACTTTGAGTTACATATTTGACTTGGAGACCATATTTATAGGTTATAACAAGTCTATAATAAACCCTACACAAATGAATTTCTGTTCCCCAAAATTAAATAGCTAGAATATTGTACTAATTAAAAGCTTAATGAGGAATAAAATAGCCTAGGCAAGAAAACCAATTAAAATATTTCTGTACATAATAGCAAAATATAATTATGTTTAGTAGTCTCTCTTTTGAAATTCACTGAGGAAGAAGCCAAAATAAGTATTACCTTGTATTAGTTCAATCCTAATATTGCATTCTCATTATTTCAGTGGAATAAATGATACGGGAGTATACAATAGGATGGTGAAGGAGGGATTAATTGAAGCATAGACCTATCTTTCTTATTACCTAGTGCCTAATTTTATTGCAAATTTAGTACAAAGATTTTTTTCCCACTGGTATCTCATAAGGAATACTATCAAGCACCATCTTATTATTCATTTTCAGCCTAGAAATGGCAGAACTATTGATACTGATGAACAATAGGCCACTAGAAGGTGATTTTTATTTATTTATAAGTATAATATTTCTTTATTCATATAGTAACATGCTTTGTTTCCTTGGAAATGTTCTCATAAGATGCAGCTTGGAACAATGTGTTTATTTAGCCCTTGTAGCATTTTCATTGGCCATTGTAATCGTCCTGCATGAATCATTTTTAATAGCATCATCTGTATGATCTATATGATCATACATATTAAGGCCATTCCTACCTATAATGCAGCGGTTCTCAACCTATGGGTCGCGACCCCATTTGGAGTCGATCGACCATTTCACGGGGGTCGCCAAGCAAGGCTGTCCGCCATTTTTTCCCCCTTTTCTGGCAGGTGCCTTACCTCCCTTGAGCTGGGCCAGCTGGTGGTCGGCCTGCTCCGTCTCTGCCGCTTGCCAGCTACGCCTCGGCCGGCGCAGGGGGCGGAACCACGCATGTGCGGTGCTCCCGGGCAGGGAAAGTCCTCGACTTACGACCGGTTGGGTAGTCCTCGACTTACAACCGGTTTAGTCCTCGACTTACAACCGGTTTAGTCCTCGACTTACGACCGGTTGGGGGTTGCGGCATTAAAAAGGTTGAGAACCACTGCTATAATGTATTATTCATGTTGCTTATGTCTGTCTTATTCATCAGGAGGAGCTGTTGGCACTGCTATGCTATGCTTCTCTTTGCTTTAGCAATATGCTGGCTTTGTTACACTTCACACCTTTTATTTATTTATTTATTTATTTAATTTTCTTCTCTCAACAGAAAACTCTATACCATAATCATTTATGTGAGTTGATGTTTTGCTATGCATGCTTACTACTAAGTAGCTTTAGTCTGTAGAAAGCAGGGTTTCTAAAACCTTCTGTGCCATATCGAAACTAAGAATGCTGCATGGAATTGTTATCAAGTCATCAGGAGTTGAGCTTCATTTGAAGAAAGTCTATTTACTTTATTGATGTTATTTATTTTTTCCTCCTAAAACTAATTATTGAAAATATGGACCATTTCCAAAAGCAGCATAGGCTGAATCTGGCCCAAGGTGGATATAATTTAGGGGTTCTTAATCCGTCCTTTAAGGATATTAATCCTTATTTTTTGTAGTAGTTTGTCTGCTAGAACTGTCATAAAATTAAGGGACTGAACCACTGGTGTCAATTCCAAATAAAATTAAGAAATAATATGATTTGATTTCAGCTCTGCTTTATGACTTCTAAGCTGAACTCTCCTTCATATGCATGTCACAATCTTGGTAAACAAACTGATATCTCATCAGAGATTTCTAGTGTAAATAGTGGTACTTTTTGATATGGAAGTGTGTTTGGATTATTTTAAGTATTTATATTCCTCTAAAGCAGACATGTCAAACTCGCGACGTCACGTGATGTCGCACAACGTATCAGGACGGTTTTGCCATTGCCAGCAATGGGGTGGGTGCGGCTTCCAGATGACGCATCCAGCCTGCGGGCCGGCAGTTTGACACCCCTGCTCTAAAGACTGAACATATTTTAAAATGTAATTCCTTTCAGATTTCTACAGAAGATATATCCATGTTTGGCTGATTTGCTCCATCAGTTTATACTATGAAAAAAGATGTATGTCTATGAATATTAAGAGAGATTGTTCTGTATCATGTGAAATCACGTACAATAAATTTGCAGCTATATATTTTGTTTGAAAAATTTGTGTGGGTGCTCATAGACAATCTTTTCAGTTTCTCTTCATTTCTAAATTACCGGTAGTTACTATAAAGATTTGCATATGACCTATTCAACAAATTACTCAGAACTAAAAATCAAATTTAAAGTTGGCTAACCTGAATAATGTGAAATTTAGAAGATAAAAGTGAATATTCACTGTGTTACAATCCAATATATCATGCTTTTTCCATTTTAAGTTCTAATTCAATGGCAAAAGCTATCACATTAAAGTAATGAGATCACTTAAAAGGAAATTTGCATTCTTCTTTGAAAACATTTATTTAAGTTGCACAAAAATGCTATTGAATATAAAATAATTATATAGTCTCTTTTTAATGCAGTCTGGAGATATATACAAGGTGCAAGCCCTTTCTCCATTCCCGAGGAAACAGACTACTCTAAAAAGACATAAAGAAAATCAAGCATTAGGGACATATGGGTAGATAAATCAGGGAAAGATAAAAGCCTGAAAAATTACAAAAATACAGTGCTTAGGCTGACCACATGATGTTGCATGTCTGCTATAAATGAATGCTTTTTACTTGTAAGACAAATGTGAAATATGATATTATACTCTGCCAAGATTATATATAAAATTAGTGTCTTCCTGCCTAGCTTGAAATAATGCAGAGCTGAGAATACACGTTATAACATAGAACATAAAGTAGAATAATGAGATTGAAATGGACCTTGGAGGTCTTCAAGTCCAATTCTCTGCTCAAGCAGGAAATCCTATACCATTCTGAATAAGTGACTGTTCAGTCTCTTATTGAAAACTAAGTGATGGAGCACCCACAACTTTCAAAGGCAAGCTGTTCCACTGATTAAGATGTGTTTATATATTAGTAGCTCAGGTTGGTAGTCGGGCTGTTGGTTTGATCTCCGAGCTTGGCGATTTGTCTGCAAACGTTTCATCTCCATTTGGGAGAACATCTTCAGTGCGCTTTGAATTATGCTCGTCTGTCAGAGCACTGGCCTTTAAATACCTTTTTGTGTGATGTAAATTAGTGTGGGTGTTATTTGTCTGGATTTTCTGGGTCATGGTCTGGTTTCAGGCTGTTTGATTGGCTGGATATTGTTGCTGGGCCACACCAAACAAACAGGCACCCTACACAGCAACAAAACTCACACCCCCCCACAAGAAACCAGACTACGCCTCAACAACAGCCAGCCAGCCAAACACGAAACTAGATCATGACTCAGAGGCAACCAAATGAACAAACACCAGACTGTGGCCCAGCAACAACAACCAGCTAATCAAACAGCCCAAAACCAGACCATGATCCAGAAACATCCAGACAAATAATAGCCACACCAATTTACATCACACAAAAAGGTATTTAAAGGCCAGTGCTCTGATAGACAAGCACAATTCAAAGTGCACTGAAGACATCCCCCCGAATGGAGATGAAATGATTGTTCCACTATCAATTGTTCTCATTACCAGGAAATTTCTCTTCTAAGTTGGTCCATTCTTTAATGATTTTCCACCCATTACTTGATTCAATGTACATTTTGTATAGTACAGAGAAATAAGATAGACTTTGAGATGAAATATGAAACAAAGTTCATATTTAACACAACATATATAAATATTTTCACCTATCTTTTGAGATGTAACTGATTACCAAAAATAGATTCCGTCTGCCTCCACTCCCCCCTCCCCATCTTCCCTCATCCTGGAGATTCCAGGAAGTTAATTCTTAGGCCACTAAGTACAGGTAGTCCTCAACGTACGACCACAATTGACCCCAAAATTTATGTTGCAAAGTGAAACATTTGTTAAGTGACTTTTGCCCCATTTTATAACCTTTCTTGCCCAATTGTTAAGTGAATCATTGCAGTTCTTAAGTTAGTAACAGAATTATTAAGTGAATCTGGTTTCCCCATTGACTTTGCTTGTCAGAAGGTTGTAAAAGTTGATAACATGACCCCGGGACACTGCAACCATCATAAATATGAGTCAGTTACCAAGCTTCTGTATGTTGATCATGTGACCAAGTGGATGCTGCAATGGTCATAAGTGTGAAAAACGGCCATAAGTCTTTTTTTCAATGCTATTGTAAGTTTGAAAAGTTATTAAATGAATTATTGTTATGTTGAGGACTACCTGTAGACAGAACTCCAAACTTTTTTCCAGTCTTGTGTGGCTGCAGGTGGATATTGACAACAAGGTGACAAATGTATTTAATTTTCAATGGATGGAAAAAGTATCCTGTTTTAGAGTGCTAGGAAAATACAATTTTAGATTAATAAAAAAAGCCCCATTTTGCTAAAAATACCAAATAAAAAATAAAAAATAAAATTTAGCATGAGGATCAAATATTATATTTGTTTCTACTGATAGGTCACAAAAAGTTTTGGAAGTTCCAGAATTTGCTTGCAAGCAACTTCAAGATAGGTAATCCATACCCTGAACATACAATGCATAGATTTCAAAGGCAAATTTTTCTAATGCAATCCTAACCACTTAACAAAATAGGAATTCAAGCTATAGGTGATAAAGCCAAACTGAATTAATTTTATATCTCTCCCCACTATATATATTGAAGTTGTATGGACATATAGACATTCAGGTGTTTCAACTCTTTTCCTTGGGATGCCACTATAGGGCTTTGTACGCCAAAATATCTAGACACAGGGACAGTTTCTTCCCTCATGCCATCGCTCTACTGAACACCTAATTTTCGCAGCTGACAAAATACAGTGACTATTAAGTTTTTTTATCTAATGTATATGTAATAGGGTGTGGTTGCAGTATTATGTATCCCTTTTATTGGCTGTACACTTAGTACTATTATTTCTGTTGCTTCTATATCGGAGACAATTTCTTGTGTTTCTAACCACACTTGACCAAATAAATAAAGTATAAAGTTGAAACAAATATCGTATATGTGGAAACAACTATACATCATTGGAGTGAACTCACATGGTTAAAATTGTATTAGGAGTCTAATATATTTATACTATAATTAATTTCGAACTATGACTACTGTGCCATCAAATGTTACTTGGAGTTCCTTAATCTGCTGAAAGCACTCAATATCCACAGAATACATTTACACATTCATATCAACCCAACATTACTAAAGTCATTTGAGGAAGGCAAAGCAATTATGAGATGTTTCCATTTACTTTTAATACCAGATTCAACATTCATCGCTTCACTTCTGCATGCTTGCTCATAGACTTATAGATGCAGCTTGTTCTATCTAGCTCAATGAAGCATCTAGAAATAGGAAGCTGCCTTATATTGCCAAAGTTCACTTAGTATCAAGCCATGGTTTAAAAAAAAACAACACAGGATGGACTCACACAACAAACCTAATCAGAACCAAGCAAACCACATTATGGATTAGCACAATTTGAGATTATTCTAGACCAGCATCCATATTGATCCATCTAGACCAGCATTGTTGATAACTCTACCCATGGGTCCCAGAGATTCAACTTGGGAGCTTCAACATGAAAAGCATGTTCACTGTTTTTGAGTTATAAACCTTTTTGGACACATTTGCAAGTGAGGTACATTTTTAATTATGAATTACATAAAGACTTGTATTAGATGAAGCCAACAGTCAGGAAGGATTTTTATCAATTCAATGAAAAACTTCTAAGATGAGGAATTCATCTAAAGGTACATGAAGTAAAAGCAAATTAGTTCCCACATCATTAAAACTAATATAAATGCAAGGAAGAATGTAACTACAATTCTATTTCACAATCATAATCCTTAATGCAAGTAAGTAAATTTAAAGTGCTGATCTGGGGGCAAAACCTTGATGAATATCAAAATGGTTTTGCCAATACCAATCATTTTACTTACAGGCTGGTGGAAAAAAACCCCAGGAAAAACCACTTAAGTTGTAAGTTTGAAGAATTACATATCTGAAGAGTGCTAACCTGAGGTTAGCATAAAACATCATCTATTCCTTCTGCAGCAAGATTCCCATAACACTATAAATGATGATCACTAATATTTAGTTTGTATTGAAATAGAGAGGTATACCACTAGTTTTCCACTCCATTCAGGACTAAAGGTCATTTATGTTAGAGCTAGGTGGACATTGTTCATCTTTTGATGACTGTGTGACCCATATATAATTGGGGGATAACCAGTGGAAACTGCTAAAAAAACACCCCAATTTCCAGTCTTTCCCTTTTAGCAAAGATTGTTCTTGCAAGATAAGATGTAGAATATTTCAGAATTCCTGGGACTGATCATCTCCTTTGGTTTCTTTAAGCTGTGCTGTTTTCTTAGGAAGAAGAGGGGCTTGGATGTTGGGGAGAACTCCTCCTTCAGGAATGGTCACATTTCCAAACAACTTGTTCAACTCTTCATCATTCCTTATTGCTAACTGGATATGGCGCGGTGCAATCCGTTGCTTCTTATTCTGAACAGCAGCATTCCCAGCTAATTCCATGACCTCTGCAATCAGATATTCCAAGACTGCAGCCAGATACACTGAGGCTCCTGCACCTATTCTTTCAGCATAATGGCCCTGTTTTAGGTACCGGTGAACTCGGGCCACAGAAAACTGCAAGCCAGATTTTTTAGTCTTGCTGTTTCTGGCAGGCAGCACAGGCTTTGGATGTTTCTTACCACGTCCAGACATTCTGGTTCTATAAACAAAAAAGACCTTCCTTCATTATTTCAATTTAACTCTGCAATTGAACAGAGCCTAATAGATTCTGCTAACAAACTTAACACACTTAAGCACTAGCTAGTAAACATTAATACAATCCCCATTACCATATTTCTATAAAAGACTGTTAAAGAAGTATTTAAGAAGTATTTCCACCTTTCCATTGAAAGATAATCAAGGTAAATGGAACAGCTTTGCCACTGATGTTATCAGGTTCACTAAGTTTGGAAAAAGCTAGCAAATATTTTCAGAATGACATAAAAGGTATTAACTGCATTAGAACAAGAATAAATTATCAAGATTTAACTTTTTTAACCCAGCAACTGCAATACAATATTACATATTCTATGAATATACTTTGTAGCTACTTCTGTAAAAAACTATGAAATCTTTGTTCCATCATTATCATCATTATCCACAAGATAGCTTGTTTGATTTTGGCTATGTGTATTCTCAGCAAATTATATTTAATTATGATTTATTGAATAAACCACCATTTAGCACAATGTATTAAATGGACTACTAAAAAGCAGCAGATTTCTTTGTATAGATATAAAATATTATTAGATTTTTATAACCCAAGTCTGTTAATTAAATAATTGCTACAGAACAGGTTAAATGTTTCTGGCCAATAGTGCAACATTTTTTAATAAAACATTATCTAGTCCTATTTTTTTTAAATTCAACATTCTCTACAATATAAAGCTAATTATATAGTGTTCTTATTTTATAAGTAATATCAAGTAAGGCAAAACCAGGTTTAGTATTTATAACTTTTTAAAAAAACCTTCAAAATTACTCACTGCTTATGTTACTCTCCCAAGTCTCTAGACAGCCAAATACTTTCTTCTTGCTTGAGACAGATACTGCCTCTTTTTAAACACCTCTATTTATAATTACTGTATATTTAAGCAGCTGCATCTACTTCACTATTTTAATTTTAATTGTGTTGATTTTTCCTTGGCAACAAAACCACAATCCCCAGTCTTACAATAGAGAACTTCTTATGGTCAGCAGGATGTTTACCACAATTATTTTATCTTTTGAAAATTAATTTCTAGATTAAAGCTGCATTTACATAATACACTAAACTACAAATTAACAAACTCATTTTAGCTTAGCATGAATGCAAACTAATCTATATGTTTTTTTTTGCTTAGTAAATTATGCTAATCCAGAAAACTGGATTCATTGGGAAAGTATGGATAAGTGTGCTTTCCAAATCTCGTTATTGGGAAACTGTAACTTAATATTAAGTATATAGAAGCCATCTCTGCTTTCATGAACTGGGAAAATTTATTCCTTAACAAGGCAATTTTGAGTCATTTATTGCTAATACAGTGCCATAAGGTACCTTTCCAGTAAGACTTCGTTTTTCTTTTAGATAATGGGAAGGGAGTGTAAGCTAAGAGCAGACACAGACACAAGATCTTAGGCAAAAGATCAAGAAGCAACAGGTTTGACAAATACAGTAAACTTAAGTAAGGTACTTTGAATATCAGTATTGTTTAATTCATATTTGTAAATCCTCCTGATTTCAATGAGACTCACTCCGTTTATTTTATTGACTTCTGAATAGATGGAAGTTTTTGGCTGATCTTGCACGGATATCAGAATTCCCGGGGAATTATGAGAGCTGCAGTTCACATATCTTCAAGTTGCCAAGCCTCAGAAATACAATGCTAAATTGAAATACCCACGGTATGTAAATATCCAGAAAATTCTGGTCATGGACGCCTGGAATTTTGCAGCCTGGATCTGCTAGCCTTAGGTTCTCCACATTAGAAGATAAGCAAACTTTGGATATTGGAAATTTAAAAATCCCATTTCTGAAACTATTTCTGTTATGTTGCTAAGAAAAGTACCTGGAAGCTTCCACATAATTTCCAGAAAGCAATACATTATTTGTTGCACTGACTTGCTTGGATTAGCATAGTATGCTGAATACCCAGGTCATTCATTAGCCACTCTCCTCCACTCTCAAGGCCCTTACCTAATAGGAAAAATCTTTTAATTTACTATTTACTGGATGTTTATTTCTAATTATTTCTATTCCTTGAAACCCGTTTTGGAAAATTACCTTCAAAACCACAATTTATAATCAATAACCAAATTTAGGGCTGAGTTTGGTTGTTTGCTTGCAGACATGTTGTTACACAATTAGGTGCTGATGTTCACTGATATTACCTAATCAGGTTATTTGCCTGCAAGCAAATAACCAAGCTTCCTAATCAAGCTACATATATTCTCTTGTAACGGGATTCAAGTTTCTGTTGATATTTATTTTTACTCTATTTATATATGCATATAAATGGGCCTAACGGTGGTGTTCTCGCTCAACAAAAATCAACATATAATTAAAAATCAAATAAAAAACGCACGGGTATAGCTGGCACAATAAACATTAGCCAGCAACTAGCCAAGCCTTCTGGTGTTCCAAAAAGAAAAAGTTGACCTGCAAGAGAACCGTGTCTATGATTTATGTATCCATGTAACTGTTGAACACAAACATTTCAAGAAAAAAGTGTGGATAGTAAATTTCTCGGATATCATAATTTAGTGCCTCATAAAAGCAATAAGCAGCCCTCCTCCGACTGCAAAATCCCTATTCAGCATAGCGGACAAACGCTGCCGCACTACTTTGCCACCCAGGCAAGGAAAAATGCCCGGATCAAGCCTAATAAGGAGACGTCAGGATGGACAGTGGGCGGATTAGTAGCGTGTATGCAACGCCCGCTTGGGTTCCTCCCACTGATCCGGGAGGACGCGCGCGAGGTTCCCAGCTCGATTTGCCGCTATCTGGGCCTTTCGGCGGCGACAACAGCAGGAAGACCCAAAATGCAGGTTAGCCAGATTAGACCATTTTGTCCCCAAGAAGAGGAAAGTCTCGCGTGCTTCCCTAATAGGGGCGGGATTTCGAGGGAGGGTTAGCTGCCGGGGAGGTGGGAATCAGGAAGAATGGCTTGGTTAGCTGGATTTCTGCTTCATGGGTGGTTCGATTTAGCGTTGTATTTCTCAGGCTTGGCAGCTTGAAAATATGTGGATTTCAACTCTGGGAATTGAAGTCCACAGATTTACAAATTGCCAAGCTTGAGAAACACTGGAGCAGGCTACACGTGGTGACTTTCCTGGCCGTGAAGGGAAGGCGGTCCAAGTTTCTTTTCGCTTGCTGAGTGTTCGTTCAGCGCATGCTCCGAGACCGCTTTTCCGGGTACTGTGGATGGGTGTACAGAAGTGAGAGTATGTATTTAGAGTGCGAGAGCACTTATGATGTTACCTAGTTTGGATAATGAAATGTCTGCAAGCAAGCAAGCAACCAAGCTCAGAGGGCACCAAGGACCCCTCATTTCAATCCTGAACTGCAAATATTCTCCTTTATTAGTTATGTTATTCCGAGTTCTCCTAAGTTCTTGCAATAATTGCTCCTTTGCTTGGAGGAGTAGAAAGAATAAACTCTGGTTTGTTTTGGTTTAGCTGCCTTCCCATTGTAAATGATAGCGAAGTACTGTTTCTTAATAAGATAAATTATTATTTAGCAAATTTATATAGCTGCTCATCTCACAAATTGACTCTGGGCAGCATACAACAAAACAGTTAAAACAAATATTAACAAGTAAAAACAAGTAAACATAAATAGAAGTTAGACTGTGAGAAAATGGACCAACATTCTAAACACAATATTTTTTTATTTGTAAAATTTATTAGCCGCCCATCTTATCACATGGTAACTCTGGGAGGCTTACAATATTAGAAGATAAAACTGTATAAAACATACTATAAATATAATACTATAAAAAAATCAATCTACCTAAAAAGATGGGGAGGGAGGGAATATAATGAGAAAGAGGGGGTGGGATCTGTTAATCTATGAACTACCCCCAATGTGAAACCCTTCATTGGAGTCCCAGGTCAACTAGCAGAACCAGGTCTTTAAGCTCTATCAGAAGGTAAAGAGGGTTAGAGCTGACCTCAGTATGGGGGAGGGGGAGCTGATGGGGTTCACAGCATGCCTCTGCCGGCACGGGTGGGGCTGGCCAATCCCAATGAGATGAGATGGGCCTTCAAGTAGCGAATATCTTCTCCCAGGCTCCCTGTCACATATTGCATGGACCAATTGCAAAATATTATTTGCTGGTTACCTTATGGTTCAGACTACAGTGATGCAGTGAACTAGAACCTTATCTCTTATAGCACAATAAGAGGGGCAGTGCCTGTATTGTGTCTTTCTGTCTCTCCAGTCCCAGGTCTTTTTCATGCTGTGAGGCTTTAAGTTCTGCACCATATGGAGTACTTTCTGCAGTAAAAGACACTCGCCCCCCAAACTCTCATTTTTGATGTAAAGAGAACCAAGGTGGACCTATGCTACAATCTTTCCCCTGCCCATTGTAACAGAAAAATTCATACTATTCAAAAACGGCTTCTAATTTATATTTTGAACCCCTAAATCAGGGGTGTAAAACTGCCGGCCCGTGGGCCGGACGTGTCATGATGAAACTGCGCCCACCCCATTGCTGGCAATGGGGAAAAAGCTCCGATACGTCGCACGATGTCACATGACGTCGCAAGTTTGACATGTCTGTCCTAAATAAAGCTAACCATTACAAGTATTATACATAAAAAGGATGTAATTAACTTTCAGAAACAATCCTTTCTTAGATAAACATGACTTTTGTGCAAAATTGAGAGAGCTGATGCTTCCATTACAAGTACTGGTAACTTTATACTTAGTGGGGAGTAATGTGTTAAAGGTTTATACCTTTTAAAGTTATATTTGTGTCCAAAAACAGACTTGTTGACTTTAATTAATGCACAGTGTTTTTCAACATGATAAACTTGAACCCACTTTATTTGGCTTAGCATTACAAGCAGACTAGTTCATTAACATTTAATTAAAATACTGTTTGTTGTTCGTCCATCGATTTTCGATGAAGACCTTGACATCTTGTGGATTGTGGGCCATCAACGGTATGTCCGTAGATGGCTGATGAGACCGATGTTAGCACGGAATGTTCTGCCACATACTGAACAGAGAAATGTGGACACTGTTGCTTCAGCATTTGCAGCTCTGGCTTTACGGAGTGCTCGCTTCTCTTGTGCCAAGATTGTCCTCCTGTGTTCATATGTCTGGCACCCCTGGTAAACCAGGGTACGCCATGTCGGTCGATCA